GGGGAGCTCGAATGGAAAAGGGAGGGGAAGAGAGAGAGAGAGAGAGAGAGAGAGAGAGAGAGAGAAAAAAGAAAGATGAGCTTGAGAAATTGCTTTGGCAAGAAGAAAAAAAAGGTGGGATTTTGTTGCAGGTCAAGGGAGGATAGGTTGGAGAAGAAGACGCAGGGAGTGGGGTGGGTGGGTCCATAGGATTTTTTTTTTCTTTTTTTTTCTTTAATTTTTTTTTAAAATATATTTTTTAAATGATTTGATGGATTATTGGATGAAATGTTAATGATTTTGACGGCAGGGGGAACATTGATAATAAAATTTAATTCGAGCCCTTAATTCGCTAAAAAAAAAAGTCAGGGGGTAAATTGATAATTATGTACAAGTTCAAGGGGCATTTCGGCAGTATACCCATATATTTATGTATATGCAATTGCATTCCGCCCTTTTGTTGGTTTTTAACTTTTTTCTTTTTTACTAGAAGGCTCATTAGCTCACACTCTTATAATGTATTCAAAGATCACCAAATTTCCTCCTTTTGGCTAGATGACCTCTTTTTTGTGTGTGTTCATTTGCATGACAATACAAATAATCTACAACTACCTAAAAGCTATCGAAAATTAAATGTGATATCATCTATTTTCTCTAACCGAGACTATATGTCACATAAATAAGAAATAAGATCTCAAAAAAAAAAAAAAAACAGAAACTAAGAAAACACTCACCTAAAATATTTTGTAATACATTTAGCTCAATTTATAACTTGTAGAGTACACAAATGTTAGCCCCTAAATATTAGGCTCTCAGAAGAAGGTGAGAATCTCACCAAGCATGCATGAAAAGTCCAAGTGAGCATACACCTTCCTGCAAATGAGAGGGAGGTAGAGAGCGATTATTTAAACACTATGATGGTATCTCAAAACACAGATTTTAGTGTAACAAAAATGCACTTTTCCTAAATCCTTAGACAGAACAACCGATCTATAGCAGTTACGGCAATCATAGCAACCAATACCAATCATGAACATTACATTTGAACCATACACTTACAGATTTGGCAATAAATGCTTTGAAATGGTAATGTCAACCCAAGACACTAAGCTTCATTGTGAGGTCACTAATCTACATTGTTGAACTTGCAGCTATAGTTATTTTTCGTAGAATTGCATATACCCACGCAATTTGATAGGGCATGTGTGCAATTCTCGATTTACAATATGCAATTGCATAGTATGCAATTTTGTAACGTCAATGTGCAATTCTTAGTTTACTGTATGAAATTGCATTCAACCTTTTTTTTGATTTTAGGGGGATCAATTATTGCATAAAATGTATGCAATTACATATTCGGGTATGCAATTGCAAATAAACAGTTGCATCAAATTAAGAACCCACATGCAACTATTGGTAAGGGATCAACTATTAAAGAGATCGACTTGTGTAAATATGACAAAAAACCTTTGTCGGACAAAGAATATCAAGACAGAACGTTCTGCCTTGATGCCTATATCCATGAGTTCAATTGCCATCCACAGCTCAACACAATGAAACATAATTTAGAACACGACAGAAGAAAAACAGAACCTCAAGCCACCTGCAATTGGCGGCGCCTCAAGGACCTTAAATCTGCTAGCTTTCATTCGTGCTATCTGTCATACGATTTTCACTACCTTCATCTGTCATCTGTCTTAATTGAGTTACAACCTCAACCTCTAAGGATTCCATTACCATAGTTATTACTTATTAATGAATATGTAACTACTTTTCTCATCAGTCGGTTACTCCAAAAAAAAGGTTTTACAGAGGAACTGTTTTTCTTTTTTCAATTTTCTTGACAGGTGTTTTGTTGCAATAGTAGAGTAATTGCATCCTTCAATCCTTCCAATTAATACCAAACAACTCAGGCAATATGCACTCAATACATTGTTCAAGCTGTAGCCTAAGAGCTGAGACACTGCTGAATTTGAGCTATTACACAAAAATGAGATAATGACAGAGCATAATACCCTGTTGATCATTTGGAGAGCCTTGTTCGACTGCTGGTGCATGCAACTTTGTCGGGTCTCCTCCACTTGCAACTCTTTCTCTCAATTTTCTAAGTGACATGTAATCAAAATTTTGCACACAAAGAATAAAAGATTAAAGCAGAGTCCAAAATCCAAAGGATTTAAAAATAAAAAATAAAAGATATAGAGAGATCAGTACTTTTACTTGTCTAGTGGCGGCAACCTGTTTGACCTCATCTCATGAACAAACTGATCAAAAGAATAATATGGGAGCAAACGTGAGTGCCATTCGGTGTACAACCCAATTAAGTTCCCCAAATCTCTAACCTCCAAAAACTGCAAAAAACAATTTAGCATAATATGATGAATTTTTTTCCACAAAAGAAAGGAAACAAGAGTGGAATTGAATATGAGACCTCGTTTCCGAGGCCACGGTACTTGAAAGCGCGAGTGAAGTGGCGGAGGACGTAGGCGAGGTCAGCTTCGGCCTAGTCTTCTGAACTGACACCTTTTTTGCCTTCGAAGCACCGCTGTCTCTCTATCTCCTCTCCGATGGCTGTTGCATTTTGGCTTGGGCAAAGATGAGACGCCCAAATTCCGATCTGGGGACACAGATGAAGCTTGGATTTCCGAGGGAGAGATCGCAGAGATGAGATGAAGCAGCTCCAGTGCATGCGAGGGGTTATTCTATGTTTTCTAAGTCACGTGTATTTCACGTGCTGCTTAATAAAAATGGCTAAACAAGTCATCAGGTCATTCAATCTCAGCCCTTAATTTTTAAAATGAAATATGAGCCCTTGGATGATCGGCTGTACCGGTACAGCCGATGCACCACAGAATTTTCGTGAAAAAAAAGCTCATCTAGAAAAAAGACGAGAAGTTGCCTTGAAGGTTCCTTACCCTTCACTTCAACACGTTGTAGGTACCATCGCATTACAAAGAAACTGCTTCGGCTGACTAGTCTATAACCAAATACCACTTTGTAGTTGCACTTGCAGCGAAAAGACCATCATTTCAAAGAAAGCGCGTGGTGACAAAAGAAATATCCCCGTTTGAGTTTGACCACTTTGTAGTTGCACTTGCACCGAAAGTTCTTCATACAATGAAATGAAACAGTAAGTTGCAACTATATATGCTTCAGTAAATTAAAGACCACGTCAGTAAATTAAAGAAAATTCAGCGTTTGATGAATTCAAGTTGAAAAGAAAGTTCCTCACGCCCGCGTTCCTCACGCCCGAGTTTGTTTAAGCCTTAAGCTATTTGTATCGTTTTATTAAGAAAGAAAATCAATACAAAATCAGATAAGATTCTCTCTGCTTCTTCTTCAATTCTTCAATGTTCAAATTGAAATCGTTATTCAGGTCTATGGATGGATGGTTTACTCCCCAATTCCCAATTGATTTTGAGAGATATCCTCAACATCCTTTAGATCAGCCCCTCCCTGAGACAACTCAACCAGTCTCTTCTTTTTCATATCAAGTGTTTTTGAGTTTTAGAGGTGAGGATACACGCACCAATTTTACAGATCATTTGTACAAGGCTTTGTCTGATAAAAAGATCCACACCTTCATTGATCGAGAGCTTGTAAAAGGAGAAGAAATATCGTCAGCTCTTGTCAAAGCAATTGAAGAATCAAGAATTTCTCTCATTGTATTCTCTGAAAACTATGCATCTTCGAGGTGGTGCTTGGATGAACTTGTCAAGATCCTTCAATGTAAACAATCAAACCAACAAATAGTTTTGCCCATTTTTTACAAGGTAAATCCCTCAGATGTGCGAAAACAAACAAGTAAATTTGGTGGCGCATTTGAAGGCCATATTGAAAGCAAATTCAAAGATAACGAGGAGAAAGTGCTCAAATGGAGGAGAGCTCTTACGGAAGCAGCAAATTTGTCTGGATGGCATTTCAAGGAGGGAGAGTATGTTTCTATCTTTATCATTTTCAAGTTTAATTTTTTTCTCTCTTCTTTCTCATTACTATTTGTTACACATTTAATTGTTACTCATT